AGATGAAGAACCTATATCTAACACAAAATAAGTCAAGACATTTACATGTTTAACTAATATGATACTAACGGGTTGAAATTTACTCTGGGCAGTTCACCCGAAACGAATACTGTATTAAATTATCGTTACTGCTACAATGTTTATTGCATCTATTTAACTAAGAAACCATTTATTCATGTACTTGTAGGATGTACATATCATTTTATGATACAAATCGTGCCTTGTTTATCCTTTCGTATTACGTTAACCCATAATTACACCTTATTATATAACAAAAATAAAAACATTGAATCAGATGGGAAAATTAAGCCTTTAAAAATGTCTGAAGAAAGTGCGTTTTGATCTTAATGAAGTAATTGTCATAACGATAGGAGAAATAGCAGTAGAATGGAGAGAATATAAGTAGATAAAATTTTATTGCCTCTGATGAAGCGATCAGTTGCATGCTGAAACAGTTTTGTTCTGATCGGATATTTCATTTTTACTGTTTGTTTATAAAATCAATAGACTTTCTTCGATCACTTAATTTGTTTATTTGTTAGACTTTAGAATGGCCGCAAGATTTCCACAATCACTTGTAGATTCAATATTATATAAATTGAAAGGAAATTCTCATTAAGGGAACTTGTTAATATTCATCGTGGCAATGCAGATTGTACACTTTTATCAATGTAATTTTATAGTGCAAACCACAGTGAAAGAATGTTCATCAATCAAACTTTTTCATTTTTAGATAAATAAATGTCCATAATAAATAATTCATTCTATCCTTTTATAACAAAAATAATGACCCTTTACTTTATATAAATTTTCCAATTAACAGTCAAAAAAAATCTGTATAACGCAAACAAAAGATTAAAAGAAGTACTGAATTGATAACCTTAATTTGTTAATTTAAGTACACCTGCCTGATGGGAATAAGTACTTATACTAAATATCATAATTGGGTCTAGAACTTGACAGTAATTAAGCTTCGGGCAAGTTAGGCCAATGATATATCCTCCTTGGCAAGAACATTTCTTAGCTATAAGTGAAACAGACAAAGGCAGCTTCATATAAGCGAAAGAGTTACAAATGTAGTTCATTTTAATTCAAGGTGTAATTATACCATTCACTGTATTCATTTATGTGTTCTTTTTACGCAGCGGCAAGGTTGATGTTAATTGAAAAGAAAAGAAAAGGTACGAGAAGAGAAAACGAAATCTCACTAATAAACGTTTTTCTTTTCCTTGTGAATCTTTTGCTTGCTTTGTAAATTGGCAAGACAAGTCATATTAACGTTCTACCAAAGTTTGGAATGTTCTAAAGTGTCTCATATTGCCATTTATTTTATTAAAATCGTTAAAGTTTGCGTTTGTAAACTCGGTGCTTTGGGATATGGACAGTGCTTAGAAATAGCCATACTGTCGATTAGCAGGCTCGATCAAACATAGTTTTCAACTTCATATAAAATGTCAAAATAATTAAGGGCTTTGTAATCAGAATATTTTTTTAATCTTTTTATTTATTTATTTTATATTTTATTTTGCTTTATTTATTTATTTGTTTTATTTATTTATTTATTTATTTTTTTTTGGGGGGGGGGCAACATAAAATATACGTCCTCCCATTGATGCGCCCGGTTTAATTTCCTTATGTATAAAGTATGTATAAGTAATAGAAAGACGATATCTGATTTGTAAGAGGGGGGGGGGTAGCCCCCGAGTAAAATCAGATAGCCGAGTGCTTTTGGTGTTTTTTTCTCTGTTGTACATCCATAATCAAACGTAACAACGCGTTCCCTGTTCTCCGAGAAAAAGTAAAACCAATGATAGAGCATCTGATTATAATATTTCTGCCGCCTTTCCTTTCTATGTCGTCATAATAAGTTAACCCCATCAAAATTGAGCCAATCAACGGGCGTGTTCTGGTGTGCAGGTAACTGATACCTGCACTCTAGTTAACGCACTGTGCATGTTTATGTATACGATTTAACCATGACAGTTTTTCAACAGAAAGATCCCCAAATTATGATACAAGTACTATTCAGTCACCTATAAGATGGTGGACAATCGTAGTTGTTTTAGTTATAAAGCATTTTAATTATCGGGTATTTTTATTTCATTTTGTAATGACAACAATTTGAACACATGGGTTCTTGTTTTTATCACTTATAACATTTTGTTGTTTTGAGGACGTCCTCAGTTAAAAGGACCTTGCTTCTCTATGCAACATTCAACTTATGCAATAAATGCCGGAATTTCCAAACAAAATGCATTTGACAAGAATAATACAGCGTTGATGATGTAATCATTTGGAAGTAAAAAATAATGTTTCTTACCCGTAGTTAATGGTCTTTTATCTTTCCTACATTCACACGTGTTTTGACAGAAACAGATTAATAACTCGCGGTAAAGCCTTATAAATATGTTTACTTTTATTGATATTTTTCATTTTGATATTTATCTGACAGAAAAAGGTTTCTCGAGTAGATTGTTTTGTGAAGCCAGTATAATGTGGTCATATCGTGTCATGACGCTTTTTCAATCAGTCCCTTGCTTCGTATTTAATATGTCAAGAGCTTTGGTATTTCTTGAAAGGAAGCATTTTAAAAGAGGAAACTTTCTATCGATTAAATATATTGTAAAAGTCAATTTTGAATGTAGTATTTTTGACAAGGTGGAAACATTCACCTCTACTTTATGTATACATGTATGTTATTTCATATTACATCAATATTAAAATGCATTTCTTAAAATCTATAAAAATAGTATTAGGTTAACATTTAGTGCATAATTAATTTTTAATAACTTTTGATTATTAAATATAATTGTCTTTGCGTTTCTTTCATTTAATGAATTGTACATGAAGAAATATTTTTGATTATCTTTAAAATATATACATTACATTTTTTATGGTAAGGTACCTGTCTATTACAAATTCGTATTGTTAATCAATACTTTTTAAGGTTAATTAATTGTCGTATCATTTCTTCTATGTAAATAATTTCAGAAGACTTAAGCAACATTTTTGAACATCAAACCTCCAGTTCTTTTATGTACTAAAAGTTCAAATCAACTGTTGAGTGTGTGTGGCTTTTTTTAAGGAATTTTTTATTATTTCCATTGTAAATTGACTGGTTAAAATGAACAAATCGGGCAAAGGGGCCGAGTGTTACAGTGGCATTTAGCCTAGTTGCTCTTGCCACGATTGTTAATTATCACGAGACACCGTTTTGGTTGAACTTTTGAAGACATAGGCACTCGGTTCCGCAACCTTCTATGATTTTTAAGTTCTTTATATATTTAGTATATACCAAATATCTTTTTTTTTTCATTTACGGATTTAAAAAAAATTGTGAGCTTTGAATCCTAGTGCCTTTATGGTCTTATACAGAAAGTGATATAAATTATTATTTACTTGACCCATCGGTAACACTTATCTCCTGTGATATCTAACCATCATAGTGTTGAAGAAGCATGGACAATTTGGTTTATGTCACAAAGTCGGCCTCTTCTTACCCCCCGTATCTATAAATTTTCATCTTTTTATATCTGCAAACCGTTTTTAATTTTTTAAAATTGCCCATCGGCTCTTGCGTAAATTAAAAGCATTATTTTGCATATAGTTGTTGGTTGAATTTTCTTTTAAATAACAAATGTAGTCTATAGTCGGGCAAGCCAAAGCCCGGGCCAGTTTCGCAGTCCTTTCCTTTGACTTTCTCAAATAAGCAAAAAATTAAAACTAGTTCTTTTATAAGTTGTAATAAATAATGCTTTTAGTTTTAATATTCAGGGGTAGAGAAGGGCGGGGGACTACATTCCCAAGTGTTTGTATGAAATACGGGTAAATTTTGGGATGTAAAAGAAATATGAATAGGAACTATCTCTTGCATGTAAATGCAGATTCACATTATTTTTTAGAAAGACTGTATGCTAAACCACAGGGACTCGGCATAGTGTTGGCAGGGTTATCGGTGAAGGTTATTTCGGTATCCTGGTACGCATGTTTAAAATTATTACGGCTAAACGCATATGTTTTCAAATCAAGGATTTCGCCAGAGGACGCATACATAACATATTGTTTACAACCTTATATAAATACGTCAGTGCGTGTCAATCTATCAGTAAAATAGGAGGAAAACAGCACAATGGTCTGACTTTGTATGGTTTCTTCAAATATTTTCAATTATATTCTTTTTTACCATGTGTAGTGTTTTCCTTTACAAATTAGCATTTTCCTAATTAAGCTTTTTCTCGGTTCAAATTCTTGACCCCCCCTCTTAATCAGCTTATTATTAACCAACTGCAGCGGCTAAACATATTTTTGATTTGATATGAGACTCTTATACTTTTTTCTGGCTTGGGATTTCCTGGACTCCTATGTTGATAGTCCTGGACCAAGTGAGAACCTTGTGCTCCCAACTTGAGATATTGTAAAAAGTAATTCTAGAAAAAAAATATATATTTGTATAAATTATTATAATATTATTACCACATACATAAACACAATACAGTATAATTTTTTCCATGATTACTTTTAACAATATCCCAACACAGGGTTCTCACTATATCCCAATAATTTTGTGCCGAGTCCGTGCGGGCTCTCGATCGTCAGTGCACTGTAACAAATGAGTTACTGCCCTTTGGTAGTAAGACGCCATGTCATAATGAGAACAGTTTGTGTAAGTATTTTATCTAATTGATTAGTACAACAGTATACTATAGTATTAATATTTCTATTTTTGCTTAAGAATAGATTCATGTATTTAATTATATATATTAAATTATAGTAAGATTCGTTTAGTTATCCTTAACGAATGAAATACATATTCAATATTGTGCTGTGTGTGCGTCAATATGGTTTGACCTATTTTACGGAAAAGAGTCAACTCGGCCCTGTACCAACTCGGCACGGGTCAACTCGGCCCATAACGCATTTACTTTGCTTTGCATGTTGTTAAGGTAAAAGAATAAAAGAAATATCTTATTATCCCCCGCCGAAAATTTTCGGCGGAGGATATTCTAAATAGTCTCCGACCTTCCGTCCGTCCGTCCATCCGTCCGTCCTTCCGTCCGACATTTTTGTCCGGAGCATATCTCTAAAAGTATTTGAGTTATCAACTTTGAAACTTCATAGGTGGATAGACCCTCATTGAGGAGGAGTGCAGTGCACAAGAATGATAACTCTACCTTGCATGATTTTTGAGTTATTGCCCTTTGTTATTTTCAAAATTGATTTTTGTCCAGAGCATAACTCCAAAAGCCTATGAAGATATTAACATGAAACTTCATAGGTGCCATAGATCTCACTTAGGAGGTGTGCAGTGGCACAAGAATGATAACTGTTACCTTTCATAATTTTTGAGTTATTTGCCTCTTTGTTATTTTTCATTACCTAATTTTTCACCTGAGCTGGAGCATAACTCAAAAAGTAGTGTTTGAGATATCAACATGAAATGTCATAGGTGGATTAGATCTTATTGAGGAGGAATTGTTGTGCGCAAGAATGAACTCTTTTTTCCTATACATTCTTTGAGTTATTTGCCCTTTGTTTTTTTCATGCTATTTTGTCCAGAGCTTATCTCAAAAGTATTTTGAGGATATCAACTTGAAACTTCAAAAGGTGGATGGATCTCATTGAGGAGGAGTGCATTGCTTCAAGAATGATAACTCTACCCTGCATTATTTTTGAGTTATTGCCCTTTGTTATCTTTCAAAATTTTAATTTTTGTCCAGAGCATAAATCAAAAAGCCTCTTGAGATAATCAAAATGAAACTTCATAGGGGGCATAGATCTCACCTCCAGGAGCGACTGCTGCACCTGCCACCACCCGCAACTGCATAACCTTACCTATTATAATTTTTCGACACGTTCATTCGCCCCCTTTTGATTATTTTTAATACTTAATTTTTCAATTACAATTTTTTTCTCAACAAAGCTATTCTTCGACGGATATCAACTTCGAACACTCTCATACGGTGCGATAAGATTTTCACTGAGGAGGAATGCAGCACCAATGACAAGAATCGATAACACTACTCTGCCATTATTTTTCAGTTATTGCCTTTCGTTATTTTCAGCCATCAGTACTTCACATTAGGGTTTCAAATCTGATCAATTCACCTATAAGCCACCAGTTTTCATTACCAAAAGACCTCTTAAAATGGAGTTATTCTGCTCTACTACATATACTTTCTTCCAATGAGCAAACACATTCGGCGGGGGATGGCCATGTTGACATGGCTCTTGTTATTATTATATAATTATACATTGTACCTCTGCTGAAATAAAGTAAATTTAGAAAGAAAAGTTATTTATTTGTCTTGCAGATTCGATGAAATTAATATAGACACAGGCACGATTATCTAACCTGTGAAGAAAAAATATGAACAGATTGATAAAATAACTTCATTTTTTTCTCTTTCCAGGTCCGATACTTGTGCCTGTGAATACAAATATAATAAAAATGTGTTTCCTTAGATGCATTTTGTTTGTAAAGTAATTTTCAAAAAAATATGAAACAAAAACATGTTTACTTAATAGCATAAGCTTCTAATTAATTGCAGGTGGTCACTAATCAAATTTGAATGAATAAGTCAATCATAATTATCACCTAATTAATCGGTATCTTTAACATACACATTGATTGATAATAATAGCCCGTGACAATGATAATAATAGCCCGTGACAATAGGAGTCCTTTGATGCCCTTGACCCATTTTTAAAAGTGGGCCGAGTTGACCCCATCACCTGTGCCGAGTTGGAATAGGGCCGAGCTGACTCGGGGGCGGAGTATGTTTTAGGGCCGAGCTGACCCGGATTCCTATTTTACAGACTATCTAAACTGTTACACATAATCATAACTGTAATTTTTATACATGGAAAATTGATTCAAATGGTTTTAATGGTTTGAAAGTACCTAGAGGAAAAAAAAAAGCAATGAAGTGGGTCAAACTGTTCCAGCATAATATGAAAAAGGCAAAGCCTCAAAGCGAGCTCGATGTACTTTTAACGTGCAATAGTATGAAATAATCGCTAATTTTTATTTCAAATGCAGTGACGAGTGCTTGTGACGTTACACGTATTGTGTTAAATATGGCTCCGCCCCTGTTGTTAAATGAATAACAAGTTTTGAAAACGTTGGTAAAACTTTGTTTATTTAATTTCACTCTATAATTTTTCAAGCGAAATAAAGATTATTAAAAGTGAAATAAATGTAAAACTTAAAACGTTTGCGACATTAAAATAGCGTACTTGATTTGTTTGTTTTGCATGTGCTGTTTGGCGCTACATTGTGACGTCACGTAAACAATACTTTAAACGTCTGTACAGCGTTAACAACTGAATAAAAGATATTGGTGTTCGGATTCACTTTCTTAAGACCATTTTCTTTCATTCTAGATAGTTTTCACAACAAAATTCAACAAAAAATTGTTTTAATTTATCAGATTTTTCAAACAAAATGGCGCCTTCAATTTTCATTTTACAGTTTGATATTTTATCGACAGCTTCCGTTATTCTGGTTTCCTGTCCAATTATGGTTCCCATAGACGTGCGCGGGTGACCAGTCTACACATCCGTTTTCAGTCAGAATTCCTCAGTTTTTATCGTTATCTTTAATTTCGAAAGGTTGCGATGTGTCCAATTCGGTACTTCGAACGAAAGTTTTCAAAACCATCACTTAGCAGGTACTAGTGTTACTGTAAAGCTCGCTATGTGAGCAGGCCCTTCAGGCCAGCTCATCGAGCTCGCTATTAATTTGGCTATTCTCACTCAATTTCAGAAATACTTGTAAAATTCTTATAATTTTGTTTAATACTGTACTGGCATGCGAGTAGTTCTGTACAGAAGCCGTACCGGTATTTTTCGCTTAAACTCTTGATTTTTACTTGTATTCTTTAAAAGTTGATAACAAATCAAACACATGTATGAATTAGACAAAATATAAGTTTCGGTTAGGCAGTATGTGTTTAACATTTCATTTTAAATCATTTTAACCTGTGCATTGTCTAAACGTGACCTTGTAAACATCGGGGGATTCCATCCTTGCGCGCATGCGCACAAATACCTACATATAAGTCTAGTCCAATATATTAGACGTTACAGGCTTGTTATAGTTTTTGTCGGTCAAGCCTGACGTCTAATAGTTATTGCTCAAAAACGCATAGCATCATAAAAAAATCCAAAAATGTCTATTGTCCTGCCTTTCAAGCTTTATTCAAAAGCTTATCATATTTTCTTTCAATTTCATGCTCAATCATACACAAAAACTGTCAAACGATGTACTTATCAATTTAAAATCAAATATAAACATCAAACTATTTTTGTCTATCAGCCATACTGGTTAAGCAAGGTGCTTTACAGATTGATTCCAAATTTTTGAACGGAAAAATATATTCGAACACACTGACGGTGCATGGGCAATTATTTCGTTAAAAAAATATTCCGTTAGATTGTTCTGACTCAGTTAAACGCTTGCATTTGAATTAGCCAATCAGATTTCGCGCACTTTACGGCCGCCATTTGTTTATCGGCTGTAAAAGGAATTGAAATACACGAGAGGATTTAATCATGATTTTTCGGATGTGACAGTTTAATTATTTTGACAAAAGGTATTTATTTTTTAGTTTTGTTCATAAATAGGTCAAAAAATATGTAAATACACGCTGTCCTCATTGTTTTTCGTTCCGCCCGATTTTCTGGCGGAACATGCTATGGGTTTTTGAGCAATTTCGATATGACGTTGCTTTGCCCAGAAGCAAAAATATCTCAAAGCGACGTCATATTTATAGGACTACATATAAGGCCTGCTAAAGGGTTTCCACTAATACCACCAGTGTACAGATTAGTGGGCAATGAAAACCTGTTAAATTATCAGAATTTTACCTTTATTACTACATTTTATAATTTTATGGCATCAATAAGTAAAATAGCATGCATACAAGCACTCCATTGCATGCCAATGCATTGGGGAAACGGTACCGGGTAAAAGATACCAGCGTTTAGTCTACGCTCTATATCCTGAATTACATCTACTTACCTTTTTGGATAATGGTCTCTTCAACAATTATAGATGAAAAATAGGTCTGATATAACAACATTGTGTAATTATCATGGGTTATATTTTATGTTAGGGAACTACTTCTCTTCATATAAAATAATGGATAATTTCAGTACCCCATATCAGGCCTCATAACTACTTAAGGGTTATTCTATGTTTAAAACGTAATGGAATTTCTATAATTTGTGTGACAAGCTATAAAATGTTGAGGTGCAACAATCAAGTTTTTGGCGAGTGAGCGTTATGAAAAATAATTTTCAAGTAATTACGATTTTTGTACGGGTACTGCTCGCATGCCAGTATATATACATTTTTTTCAATTTTTTTTTGGTAAGTGCACAATTAGATAGTAAAAAGGCGTTGCAAAGATATTATAAACAATGATTTAATATAAATATGGGCTGAACTTGTATATGATGCCAAGTTTATATTTGGCTGGGTCTGGCAAGTTGTAAGATTTTGGTTTGGAGTTACAATTATTTTTTGGCAAAAGGGCACAATATATGAGCCACGCCATGACAAAACCAACATAATGGGTTTGCGACCAGCATGGATCCAGCCCAGCCTGCGCGTCCGCACAGTCTGATCAGGATCCATGCTGTTTGCTATCAGTTTCTCTACTTGTTATAGAGTTGTAAGCGAACAGCATGAATCCTGATCAGACTGCCAAGATGCGCAGGTTGGTCTGGATCCATGCTGGTTGCAAACCCATTATGTTGGTTTTGTCATGGCGCGGCTCTTATGTTCATTAAAAGCAATAATCAAGCCTATGGACTATTAGTTTAATATTTAGGCTATTACCATTTTGCAAAATTAAAGAAGTGTGTTTAATTTTTTCATGAACAGACTTACAGAGAATAAATAATCTTTTTATTTTCTGGGTAAAATATTTAGTGAAAATGATGCTTCAGCAAGTAGTACCCCAGCCAGGGAGTTACATGCAGTAGCCTAACTGGGCATAAGCCAGTATGCTGTGGGGGTACTAAATGAAAGCAAGTTATTAAAAAAAAGGTCTTAAAAGTTAAAAATATTTGTCAAAATCCGTACCCTAACCCTGGTTAGGCATCGCCGAGAACTTTGACTCTTAAGATTAAAAAAAAAAGGGATTTTCCTGTCAAAGAATTATATTGTTACAAGGCGATTTGATCTGTGTATCAGTATTTTTGGCTTCAAGTATGTTAAGATTGTGTTTTACTTTAGAAGGTTAAAATTGGGAATTATTCAAGTTGCGTTCACATGTAAAACTTCCGAGGAACTTAAATCCCAATATGTTAAGATATTCTATAGCACTATTTAGAAGTCTTCAAGATGAGCAGAAAGTTACTCTGTGAAAATGAGATTAGCCGGGTGCCTATCATAATAATCTTTTTGACACAGAAGATATTATTCTCCACGGTGATGTTCAATTTTTAACTTCAACATCAATATATACGTACTACGCAAATCTTTCGACAAAATCAAAATTGGTTCCCAGCTCAAACGTATTCAAATGCACACCTCTTTGAAGATGAAAACCAGTCTGGCTATAGTCTGAGCCATTCAGTTCCCACATTCAAAGCACGGTGTATTTGAATATGGCTAAGCTGGGGGGCCAATTTGGAATTTGTCTAAAATTTTTGTAAATGGAGTAAAACGGTGATAATCTTGATGTTTATTTTGCCTGTTGCATTGTTTATATTGTTATAAGATATATTTTGTTTGAAGTGCATAACTTTCTCATTCATCAAGGGATTTTGAAAATTCTTGGCTTAAATGTTGACAATAATAAGATGATATGTCATGCCCAACACCCAGACCCTTGCCTCCAAGGTCAAGGCCATACTAAGATGTCAAAGCTTAGCATGATTTTCTTTGGTTATATTTTGTGTGCAGTCCATAATGTTTTTTATTGTTCAAGGGATTTTGAAATTACTTGGCACAAATGTTTACAATAATGAGTCCATGTGTCATATGCAACAGCCTGACTCCTACCTTCAATGTCAAGGTCACACTTGAGTGTCAAAGCTCGACATGGACTGTTCTTGAGTTTATTTTGTGTGAGGTATATAACTTTTTCATCAATCAAGGGATTTTAGAATTATTTGGCAAAAATGTTAACAAAACTAAGATGACATGTCATGGGCAACACCTAGACCCTTACGTTAAGGTCAAGGTCACACTTTGGAGTCAAAGCCTTAAAAGTCTGTTAAAGGGGATGGTGCCAAATTAGTCAGGTCCATGCAAATAAAATGTCATTGGTGAATTGCAAACATACCTTGATTGATGACTGGTGACTGGGCATGAAATATACCCTGGCTGTAACAGACCATATTCTGTCTTGATTTTGTATTTGTTGCATTTTGCGGCATTGAAATAGTGATAACAAGTATACAAATGTATTTCTGTTGACACATATACAGGAGTTATTTTATTATATTTCTTCAATGAATTTATTGCTACCTGCATGTGCAGATCTAGCATTGATCAAACTTTTGCTCCATCTTTTGAAATAGCATAATTTTGTGCTTCATGTAAAACTTGTCATAGGCGGAGGATGTTGGTAACTCTGTTACAAATTCTTGTTAATCATGTATTCCATATTATTTTCTTGCAGAAATTCTGACCTGTGATGCAGTTGGAGTCAAGTTTTGCCACAGTATTGTACAGTACTTATTTCACTGATTGGGATACATTGTAATAAGTTGGACATAACTTAAATACAGTGCTGAATAAAGAAGAAGGAACATTTTGAGGACAGAAAAAAAACATTTGTACATACAAACAATGAGTGAAAACTTGAAGATGAATACAAATGAAAAAAAGAAGATGAATACAACTGAAAAAAAGTTTAAGTGTGCGTTTTGTGAAAGTGCATATAACTATAAGAGCGATTTAAAGAGACATATAAGAAAACATAGTGAAGAAAAACCATTTAAATGTAATGTATGTGGAAAAGGTTTTAAACAAAAGAGTCACGTAAAACAACATATGAGAGTACATACAGGAGAAAAACCATATGAATGCAAATTATGTAGTATGGGTTTTACGCAAATGAGTCGTATTATGCAACACATGAGAATCCATACTGGAGAAAGAGAAAAAGTAGGAAAACGATATAAATGTGATAAATGCGATAGTAAATTCGCTCGAAAGAATTATCTCACAATACATTTAAGAGTGCATACTGGAGAAAAACCATTTAAATGTAATATATGTGATAGTGCATTCAGCAGAAAGATGGTGCTAAAGGAACATATGACCATACATACAGGAGAAAGACCATTTCATTGTAATGTGTGCGATAAAACATTCAGACAAAAGATATGTCTGAAAAACCATATGAGAATACATACATTAGAAAAACCATTTGCATGCGGTCTATGTGATAAAACATTCAGACAAAAAGTACATCTAAAAACCCATATGAGAATACATACAGGAGAAAAACTATTTACATGTGGCGTTTGTCAGTGTAGTTTTAGTACAGTTGGTGGTCTTAAGCAACATATGATAATACATGTTAATAATGGTTAAAAAACTATGTACATGTAATGAATGTAACTGTACAAATTACAATTGTGTGATTTCAGCTTTAGAACAACCAGTTTTAGACCATTTTTAGCTCGACTTTTCTATGAAAAGGGGAGCTATCCTACTCGCCCCGGCGTCGGCGTCGGCGTCGGCGTCGGCGTTGGCGTCGGCGTTGGCGTCACACCTTGGTTAAGTTTTTCGTACCACCCCACTTTATTTCAGAAGTATTACAAGTATGGCTTTGAAACTTACCATACTTGTTCACCATCATAACCTCCATCTACAGACAAGAGTACATAACTCTGTCAAGGTTTTTGACAGAATTATGGCCCTTTTTTGACTTAGAAAGTGTATTGAGCTTGGTTAAGTTTTTTGTACCACCTCACTTTATTTCAAAACCATTGGAGGTATTGCTTTGAAACTGACCATACTTGTTTACCATCACGACCTTCATCAACAGACAAGAGGACATAACTCTGTCAAGGTTTTTGACAGAATTATGCCCCTTTTTGACTTAGAAAATACATTGAATATAAGTAAAATCCACTTATTGCCTTAACCCTTTGAGATATTGCTTTGAAACTTTTAATGCTATTTCACATCATTACCCCCATCTGTACGCAAGAGAAGGTAACTCTGTCAAGAATTTGTTTTAAAAATTAAGGCCTTTTATCGACTTAGAATCTTGGTTAAGTTTTTTGTACCACCTCACTTTATTTCAAAACCATTGGAGGTATTGCTTTGAAACTGACCATACTTGTTTACCATCACGACCTTCATCAACAGACAAGAGGACATAACTCTGTCAAGGTTTTTGACAGAATTATGCCCCTTTTTGACTTAGAAAATACATTGAATATGGGTAAAATCCACTTATTGCCTTAACCCTTTGAGATATTGCTTTGAAAACTTTTAATGCTATTTCACATCATTACCCCCATCTGTACGCAAGAGAAGGTAACTCTGTCAAGGATTTGTTTTAAAAATTAAGGCCTTTTATCGACTTAGAATCTTGGTTAAGTTTTTAGTACCAGTCCACTTTTTGACTGAACTGTTTGAGATATTTAATTTGAAAGTTGGAATACTTGTTTACAATCATGATTCCCAAACATGTCCAGGAGAAGGTAATTCTGTCAAAGATTTTATTTGAATTATGGCCCTTAACTGTCAATGTTTTGTATTATAGGCAAGCACTAAAAAACTTAAAAAATCTAAAAAAATTCATTCCTATCCACTTGTTCACTCTCAAAGTGGGTTTAATACTATTAAATTTATTTAAGGCTCAACTCAGTTTTTTTTTCTTTCTTACCAGCCCTCTTTTGACTTAAACATTTCAAACTTTGCTGCAGTGTTCAAGGGTATCACACAATTCAGTAAAATAATTCTTCACTAAATATCTTAATGCTCATGGCCATTGTTCACTTTAAAAATACAGAGATTCTTGTATTGCCTTTTACTGCAAAAACTTTTTTTATTGGCAAGCAATAAAAAAGTCGAGCGCGCTGTCTTACGGACAGCTCTTGTTGGTCTTGACTATTATGCTCCCCGAAAAATTTGGGGGAGCATATGTGATAAGCTCAGCAATTTTGGTCCAAATGAGATATTTAACAACTGTTTCACAGAAATGATCACCATATTGCAGGTCAAGGTCACAGCAGGACCTTGCAGCAAAAATCGTGTCTGGCCCATATCTTTGTTATCTCAAGTTTGGTTTACAACTATTTCACAGAAATGATCACCATACTGAGATGACGTGTCACACGCAACAGTTGGGTTGTTTTTACACTTTTAACTTTGTCTGTGACATAACTCTGACACTACAAGAGGTAAAACCTTCCAGATTAAAATATGAAAATGTATTTTGGACAATTTAGTAATCATTTATTGAGGGATTGAAACACAAATGGTCACTATCATAACTACTGGTATAAAACATGAAATTTAGGTGAATATATCAAGGTCAAGGTCACTTAAGATGATAAAATATAGAAATTTGTCCAGAGTATAATCCTCCACACATGGTGGGATTCCAATAAAACTTCATAGAAATGTTCAACACTATGAGAAGCAGTGTCACGTGTATGAATCAGGTTTCTAGGTTAAAGGTTAAGGTCACACTTAGAGGTCAGTGAAAATAGCTTGTTTTGAGCCAAACTTCTACATTCATTAACTTGGCACAAATATTCACCATTGTGAGGCTGATTGCGCACATAATCCAGGTACCTGTTACCAAAGTCAAGGTCACATAGAGAGGTCAAAATTTGTATACGGGGACCATCTCACCATCTTGTCATCATTTATTGATGGATTGTAACACAAGTAATAATTATGACTACAAGTGTGACACATTTAATTTAGGTTAATATTTGAAAGGTTAAGGTCACTAGAGATGATAAAATATCCAGATAATTTCCTGATTTTCCCAGAACACATCTCCTATATATGCATATCTATAATGCCCACATCTCTGTCTAAAGCTTTTGTGACGGGTGTATTTTGCGACAATGTCGCCGTTGTTAAAGATTTGTTTAAACCTTTTAATTGCTTGCTTTTAGAAAGAGTAAAAAAAGAGTTGAGTGGTTCCCCAACTGGTTGCCCCCTCCCAGTGGTGGGTCTTGATGCTTATTGATGTTGTTTGTACAATAAGATATTTAGTCATTGGCAGAATAAATGTTTCTATCACAACAGTTAACCTTGTCTCTGATGTTTTCTTGTGTTCATTTGTTTTAACAAAAGTACAAATGAGCTGCGTCACAACAAAACCAACATAGTGGGTTTGCGACCAGCATGGATCCAGACCAGCCTGCGCATCAGCGCAGTCTGATCAGGATCCATGCTGTTCGCTTACCAACTCTATTACAAGTTGAGAAACTGACAGCGAACAGCGTGGTTACTGATCAGACTGCCCGGAGGCGCAGGCTGGTCTGGATCCATGCTGGTCGCAAACCCATTATGTTGGTTTTTGTCGTGACGCTGCTCAAATGCTAATGACTTAATGCAAATTGGTGGTCTTAAATGCATATGTACTAATTGGGTAACAAATGGTATTTAAACTAAGACAAACTGAAGCACAATAAAGGGTTATTTATACGAGCAACTTACATAAATTTATACAATCCCTTATGCAGTGATCTCCCCTTATCAGTACAATCTGCCAAACTGAGTGATGTTTGAACTTTATAAGGCAAAACACATTATAGATAATTTTCAATGTCCTTAATTGATGTTATATATTTGACATGGACATAAAGAATGTTGCAGGCAGCAGGGAATGGTGATTAGGGCTGTGTTATACAAACATAAGTCAATCAAATTCTAGTTGTCAGTATAGGCTCCAGGGCATTTTTTCCTTCTATAGCAGGGGCCGGTATAGGGTTGCTTCCCCCAAAAAAAATTCTTTAACATCCTGCAGTTTTCCCCAAAAATTGAATCTACATCCATTTTTTTCTTCCCTTTTTGCAAATATACGATAAAATTTTCCCCCAAAATTAAGGGCAGGGTTGCTTCCCCAATCTGTGAAAAAAAGCCCTGGGCTCAGAAAAAAGGTTGCACTATGTTTATTAAGACTTGTGCATGTATATAAAAATATACATTAAAATTTGGCTACAGTGAACAAAAAATACTGGTTAAATTTTGATGAAGCATCAGCTTCCAGTACCCTACTGTACATCGAACGTATTATTTGATGTTTAAAATTAGCTATATATGCAAAAATACAAAAGTTAAGCTGCCAACTGTATAGAGTCAGGTCAGACTGCACGGTTGTACAGGCTGGCCTGACTCTGTACTGGTGACAAAGGCTGATCACTTTTGGTTCCAGCAGGTTAAGGGTTAAGTAATAGAAAGAACACCGAAACACGAGGTTATCTGATTTGTACGAGGGGGCGTAGCCCCCGAGTATTAATCAGATTACCGAGTGTTTTGGTGTTCTTTCTCTTTTGTATCATAGTCAAACATAAAAACACGTTCCCTGTTGTCACAATATGAAACCCCGGCAAAAATGAACCAATAAACGAACATCTGAATATGATATTTCTGTCGCTTTGCCTTTCTCTGCCGTCACAATATGTAAACCCCAGCAAAAATGAGCCAATCAATGGGCATGCTCTGGAGTGCGGGTAACTAATACCCGCACTCCAGTTAACGCACTGTGCATGTATATGTATACGATTTAACCCTGACACATTTTCAACAGAAAGGTCTCCAAACTATGATACAATTACAATTAATGTTATATAAATCCGTGATGTCAACAAGCAAAACTGTAAGAGTCACAAGATGCATAACAAATATTGGCACATTATTATTGTTTGAATATATTCCATTTATCACATGGACGTATGCCCGGTATATAATTGCCAACTTAAGACAGTGATCTTGAAATAATCAGACTGGCTGTCAAGTCTGTAAGTAACTTCCCCATTGAGTCCCGAACCTTGGTCGTCTGCTACAAAAACTAGGTGTGTATGGAATGAGGCAGTCGCCTGACAGTCCTGATAGTGTTAAATGTTTCTTAAACTCAAAATATACGACTTGAACGTATGTTTTTTCTCTTTATTCTACCCTTTAACATTTGATAAACTATATTTTTCTGACCTCTGAATTGTTCTTATATAAGAAAATATAGGTTAATAGGTATTATATAAAAAGGTCATGTCATTGGAGAATTAAATCACGGTGATTTAATGCATTAATTTATATATATATAATACCTGTCACATAGCGTCTTATCCTGACCTCATTAATCAAAGTAAACGTAATGTCTCCATTGGATACAGCAAAAGATAGAAAAAATATCCTGTAAAAATATCAATGTTTACTTTACTATATTTCATATATAAAACGCATTGTCTGTCAGCTTTTATTTCTCTAGTTAAAACCAGTAAATTCAAATATAGAACAAAATTCAATGCTTTTAAACAATAATTATCGTTATTTTAAGCTATATGCCTCCAGATGAGCCAAAAAGTAATCAAGTAAATGTTTGAGGAAATTAACTATGATTTTCAGGTTATATGCTCCGCCCTGCCCCCCCCCCCCCAAAAAAAAGAACATGCGTTTCTTCTTAACATAGGATAACTATAAATTAATTCTTTCATTTTCAAATGAACACACCTGTCAATTTAAGTGTAAACGAATAGCTATTAATGTAATAAATAAAAAAGAAATTCCTGAGCTGATAATGACAAGAAGATGAAATGCTATTAGATTGGGTCAGAAAATCTTAATTATAATGCTCTCTTTCATTAATACAACGAACAGAACGAGTTCCTCTTGGGAAATAAGTATGGTCATTAACTCAGCTCATGTGATAGCGGGTTCATTTCCATTAAACATCAATATACGAGATCATAATTATCATGTTTTGGAAGGATTTCTCCTTCTTTTAAAAGTTATGTTTATGTTTGCGTTTTAATGGAACACTGTAAAAGGTCATTTAGTAACTTTCTAGGTTTACCAGTGAAATAAAGAATACCTCCTGTACTCATTTGTGAAGTTTTTTAGAAACGACGCTTAGAATTTCTAAATCACATTTTCATGGTTTGAAATTCTTCCAATATAGCCAGTGTTCAATATATTAATTAATGTTTTGCAATTCATAAATTGTTTTGTTGCACACACAAATTAAAACGCAGGTATTTGTCAAAAATATGATAAAGAATTGGCTTAGCAAAATGTTACTGTTTTTAAGTATATATTGAGTATATATCTACAAACGTGAATTTGCCAATTTTTCTTAAACATATCCTTTGTTGATATCAAATTTTACCTTGTTCATTAGACTGGATAAAACATAAAGTAATAAAACGCCGTGTGATAAAATTGAAAACAATAAAAGTGAAAGTGATATCTGTGTGCCAATTGCAGATCTTGATAAACCAGAGGAAATGTTTGCGTGATAAAAACAATAATTTTCGCATCAGAAATATTGATACAGTTCTCGGATTGGCAAGGAAGCTTTGTGCAAAAAACAAAAAACAAAACCAAACCATCAGAATGATTTCCCATTCATTTATCATCATATGAAAGGACCTAACTCTGTAGTGAATAAGTAGAAATGGTTACAATATCATATTTCCCTCTTAAAGTGCCAGATGTCTAATTCCATCATGCTATGTGAGGAATTATGTTTTTCAGTAATTTTCTCACCGATAGTGTCATAATTGTATTATAATACACATAACACCTGACAATAGGCTTAAAGGGGACTCAACGGTTGTATGACATTAAGGAACTGGAAATACCTTTCCGATTTCATATCTATAGGTCCGAACCAATACCTTGTATGCAAGCTTTCCAATCATCCCCTCATCCCGTTTTTCAAGAATTATCATTTTTTCTATGCACAATGACAAAAAAAAAGCGTTCAACGCTTTCACTCAAATCAGACTGAGACTTTTATATTGACCATCAGTTTTCAATTTAATTTTAATCATTTCTTGATTATCCTAAGCCTTTTCTTTGCAATTTTGAATTGTTTGATTTATCTATGTAAAAAAATATGTTTCAGGCCTTTTGACCTCAATTGAACTCCTTTATGTGTATCTGTACGTGGTACGCATATAATGGTTTCATATTACTTTTTTTCGGTATGTGTTAGTGTAAATATACGTCGTAAGTGCTCATACTTTTGTGCAAATAATAAACAACAAAATAAAACAAACAAACATAACTTCTATAACTACCACCTGTCTATGTAACCTTATCATGAGCCAAGATATTTCAAGAAATCAATGTTGAGAAAAATGTACTAAGATTTTAAGAAAAGAAGAAATATTCACAATTTGATAAATAATGTTCATGTTAATATAATATGTAAAAAGTGTCTGATTTTGCAGTATTACTCAATCATATTTATACTGCGTTGCTTACGCAGTAAAGGCTTCTTTTGCATATACATATTTGGTCATTTTGTAAAGTTTAAGTGCCGTTTGTAATGTTGAAAATTCCTGTCTTTGTTCACTGGAAAATATTTTACTTTTTAACTTTCTTTTTACATTCAGAAAATTTTCATACAATAAATGAGCATGAATCTGGAAGTAGGCTGCTTTAAGTTTATTTGACTTTCACATTACGTTTGAAATTTGTTTGAATAATCTAACATTAGCATGAGAATAACAAAAAAGACCTTTGAAAGCGTCTCAGATGTAATCAGTTATTGACTGTCGATACATAGTTATTGAATTACTGTGAATATCATCAAATCTAAGAACAATAAATAGAATCTAGTGAACATAACAAACTGAAATAAAAATAATGGCTTCCTTTATGGAATTTCCATTAACGTTGAAGCGTTAGAAAGACGCGCTGATTACATTATACATCAAAATCTTTTTAGAAATCTGTTCCTGCTATCTTTGTAGCTCACAAAGTGTGGAAAAGAAATCACGTTAATTTCCGCGGGGTCAGAACAATGTGATTAAAAGATTCACTTTCATTTTCGGGGAATAGAATTAGGTCCGTTGGGAAATAAATTGTTGCTAATAAACCGTGCAAATGTGTGACCAGTCAGTTAACGGATAAAATAGGAAAACAAGAAGTTACAGGGCGTTGACTCAAACACTGTAAATAAAATAAATGTCAATATTAGTTACTTGCTTCATAGTATTGAAATAAAGGGACACTACTGACATAAAGAGCATTAAAGTCAATCAAACCTAAAAATGCTATTATTTTCATTTCTCAAATATTTTGTTTTTATTTCTGATGCCTTGCTACAATTTTCGAAAATAGACATATAATTTACCATATTTTGTTTATCTTGCAAGTT